ATTATTGCACAGTCCCTAATCACAAAACTCAACAATCCAGTTATGAGCAATGATTTCATAACTTGATCATTAAAAATGACGGATAGCTTGGAATTTAGTTGCTCAGAGTTATAGCAGTTCGAAAAAATGCTAGTTTCACTACCGCAAAACAACACAAACAAACAGGAGCTGTGAAGCATTATTATCCTGTTCAGGGGAAAATATAAAAATGGCTTTAAAAATCAATCTTTATTCATAAAACTGTTTATACTTATTAAAAAAAAAGAAAAGAAAGAGAAAGTCTTGAAAAGTCTCAAGAAATGAAGTAGAAAAAATTTACGGCTTCACGGAGGGCTCGAACCGCGAACCACGCAATTTAAAATACTTTAACACAGCCGTGAAAGCAACACAACTGTTGAGCCTGGGCCCCCTGTGGTTTTTGAACCCGCGATCCCGCAAAAGGGATCAATGACGTACTACCACAGGTAACCCACATTTTTCTAAGAGCGCGCGCCGATAACAAAAAAAACGAGAAAACGCATGGAATTTGAAAATTGATTTGAAATCTCACACTTTTATTTCCACAATTAGGGATATTTTGCGCACAAATGAGGCTAACACAGAGCATTCGAGAATTAAGAGACTTTTACACAGGAAACCCAAGACGCTTCTTTTTGAAATTGCTAGAGCCAGTCTTCTACGGCCATGTGAACAAAGGCAATGAGAAGTCACCAACTTGTTCCACGTAGAACGCAAAAAACGCCTAAACATTTGGTTGAAAATGGTAGATCTAAACGATCCTAAATCACCCGAAAGCTTTAAAGTTGATGTACAATTTCTACTTCTACCTGGATTTATTTTAGCTACTCTAGTAGGTGAGTATAACAATGTTTTTTTTTTTTGAAAGAATAAGACATATTAAGCTTAGGGCTTATAAGCTTAAACATCTTTGAGCTTCTTTGGTTACTATTGCTCTTACCAAACTTTAGCTTTATAAAGCAAATTTTTGGTAAGAATTCGTTATTGACATCTGAAGATAATTAASCTCATGTTATCTTTCACTGATTTCAAGCTACATATAGTTATTTAAGTAAGAACGCTTATAAAAAAGTCATAGTCATATCAGTTTTTAAAGTTCATTTGAAAGTGCCTATTAAATTCTCTACTGCCATTTTTTATATATGGGTTTTTTCATGATAGAATGTTTATGTAACATGGTTTTTAGTTTTGTGAAATTTTATTGATTGTCCATATTTGTTTTGCCTGCATATGGTTGCTCTAGGTGGATATTATATTATGTTTCAAACTGACTGAGGTAATCAATTTGAAATTCAAGTACAGTAGTCATCATTGGAACTCTGTCTACCAACGGTGAATTTAACAAATTTACGAGAGTTTTGTATGGTATGTCCTCTTATTTACCACAGTTGAGTCATGGAATCTTTTAGATTGTTGTAGATCCATCTAGATGATGAGATGATCCCAACTATGGTAAATAATAGGACATACCACAAGAAACTATTGTGAATTTGTTTTTTTACCACAAATATACTTGTTCTATCAGTGCAAGCGTTTTGCAAGCTAAAAGAACAACAACTGAAATCCAGCGACCGTGGTATGCACTTTTATTTACAACGGCTCTTAACCAATTAGTAAGCGAGAAAATTATCATATGTGATAAAAATATTATTTTGTAACAAATTGCCCAAAATTTGTTGACAACRAAAACTGATGACTGATAATTTAATCTCATTTGCAAAAAAGCTACAAATTGATTCAGTGATTGTCCAAAGAAATCATAACATAACTCTAGTGCTTTTGAGTAACAATTTTGGGTAACAATTTATGAATTAAAGGTGACAGCAATAGCACATGGACTATAAGTGGCAAGCTGGAAGCATTTCTATTTTAGGTCTAATTTGCTATGGATCTACTGCTTGCAAACAGGCTCTCATTTCTTTCCAATGCCTCAACTCCTTTCCCCCTCTCCTAGAACCACCATGCACCATCTTTGCTTGGATGGACCAATAATGAACACTTGATTTCAGTGAAGATTATCAGACAACAAATGAGTGATAACAATAACCCCTACTCATTAATTATGCCGAATTGGAATAGGCATTGCCCTGCAAGCAGAGTGTTATATGTATTAACCTTACKTAATGATGTAAGATAAATAACACTCTTCTTGCATGGAAAATAGGCATATTTTGTAGACATTCATGGTTTCAGGGGGAAATAATTGACATTTTTTGTTTGTATTTGCAGGAATATTTATTTACAAAATAATTAAAGCAAACAAAGATAGGGAATCAGCAAAGGTTGAAAAGCGAAAGTTGAAGCAAGAAAAGAAAAAGAAATAGACACCGTCACAAAARAGAGAATACAATATAGTTTTGAAATTTTACTATACAGAAAGCATCATGTATAACGACATTATATTGATTTAAAAACTTCACAATCAGTGATAAGATATTATCAACAAAAGGGAAAACTTTGATCGAGCACATTTACACCATCTTGTGCCGACGACTGAAGAATAAGTGATATTTGTAAAATTATATGGAAACCTCTGGCCAGATTGTTTCTAAAACAAAATTTATCTCACAGCATTGGTGARTTCTTTCTTAGAATTATTGGCTCTTGCTAATCCTGTACAAGTGGAAACTTTAATGAAGAATACAGTCATTTTTAAATTTAAAAATTAAGCTACAAAAAACTATTACTGGCAGTCCCATGTACCACCCACTTTTTCAGAAGTTGTAACCTTATCACAACAAAAGAAGAAAAAAAWKKT